AGACCAGCAAAGCCGTTCGGCCACGGAGACAGTAAATAAAATAAGTAAATAGGACGATCGAGTTGTTCAAGCAGAAACGTGGAATTCCAACAAGATTAATCTAGAATGATACCAGACATCGTCGCCCCTTTGGGCGCGTTCATTTTGAGGATACACCATTCAATTTAGTAACACTAGAGCTCCTTGTGAAAGAGTTCATTCAGGGAAGTACTGCTTTACCTATTTCTGCTGCCAAACAGTAATGTCAGCGTTACTGTGTTCCGGTTTTGAAGGGTAAGGGTGCTGGTGAAATTACAGGCACATGGAACTTGTCAACTTATGTGTCAGGGTGACGGGCGCAGTGGCAGTGCCCATAAGATGTTTGCGATTTAAAACTCTGAGTGGCACTACAACTGTTATGGATAGGCGTGTCGCTTACTGCCAGGCGCACGACTTGCTTGTCCCGTCGTTGGTATTATAAAAAAAATATTTACTGAGAATCAGTTTCGTAGCGATTTTACAAGAACACCTTTGTAAAGCAAGACGGTGTATAGTTCATATCAGGAGGTTGGCAACTACGCTACGATAGCCAACTCGCTACGAGTGCCAACATGATCATAATTTTGAGAAAATGGTAGTTTGTTGTAATTTTTTTATTTCTTAATAAAATTTTTATTGAATTGATCTTCAATTTTTTTTGTGAAATTACTCCACTAGTTTGTTATAATTATTAATACAAAGATCGAACACTCAGAAAAAATTCCTTCGATTTTTATTTCTTTTTATTTTTTATTTTTTTTATGTAAAGAAAGAGGTCAACGAGCAGACGAGTCACTTGATGGGAGTCATCGTCGCCTATGGACATTTGCAACATCAGACGAGCTGCCTATGCGTTGTCAGCCTCAGACAGCCCTGCAAACACGCTTTTTGAAGAACCCCATGCCATAGCGCAAAAGAAATACTTCAGGAGGAAGATCATTCCACATCTTGCAGGTTTAGGCAATTTACTTATAAATTGAAAGCTTTTGCTCTTGTGCTTGTTGTTCTTGGGGGATTATAATAATAAATCACAACAATTCATCATTCCTGAGGTAACAACAGCAAAAGTTTTCATTTTACAAGTAAATTTTAACGTATCATAAACAACGAAAAAATGTTTAGAAATCTAAAATTTCCGCAAAACTATGATCATGATCACGTTATTCCTTAACAGCATCCAATTATGAAAAGTCACCTTTTACTCAGCAGTAGATCATGGCGAGCAGTAGAAAGTAGAAATAATAAAACAATTTCTAAGTAACTTCAATCTACGTTCAGCTGTATGTATGTTTTCAGATATCTCCGTCAATTGTGAATCGATTTTGAAAATTCTTTTTTTTTTTTGTTTGAATGGATACACTCTCATGGTAGTCTCATTGCCACCAAGCCAGAATCTTACGTCAAATTTTATAGACATGTCCGTGTATTTACCAATTTCTCCATCCATTGTGTACCGATTTTGAAAATTCTTCTTTTGTTTGAAAGGGTATACTCTCAAGGTGGTCCCTGATGCTGTTCCGGGTTCGTTTCGGCTATCCCAAATTACTAATTAGAATCGATATTTCACTTGACACAATACATGTAATCAACAAATCACTATCACCATGACAACCAGATAAAAAACTACCTAAACTACCACAAAAAATAGATGAAAACAGGTAGGTATTATGCATATTAAATTAACAAAAAAAATTACAACGAAAAAAATTATATATATGTAGTGTAGTTTATATAGCTAATTCAGGGATTTTTTCAAATGCGGTAGCACCCCCTGGACAGCATCAACGCCAAAAATTGCTCCCGAGGCCACCCTATCGCCCTTAGGACTCTTCAGCGCCCATTGTGGGGCGGAAGGGATCACTTTGAGACATGGTAGAATGTAATCATTATATACCAGCATTAAGGTCTAAATTAAAACATTAAATAGGAAACAAGTACAAATGAATTTGTACTTGTTTGTACTCGCATGCAATTACTAATTGGAATTAATTATTCCACAATCATTTGTTGAAACAACACAATTAACCTAACGTATTATGTAAGTATAATGTGACCAAAATTAAACTTAGAGATTTAAATTTAATTCATTGGACAAGCTTCAGAGGTGATTATCATCGTAATCCCGTTTTAATTAGAGATAATAAACTTTTTTAATTATTTATCGCATGACCTGGATCCTAAGTCGAAATATTACAATAATAATTATAACAAAAAAGTAACGTCTCAGATGTAATAGACAACGATTAAATTAGTCTTAAAGGATCGACTTCAGATCATCTAGGTAAATTATTTATTTTTAATCATTTTATAAATAAGAACTTGATAATAGTAAAAGCACCACAGTTGTTTAATTGACCCACGAGCGTCTCATAGTGGCGAAAACGGTATTTAAAAATGATTATGCAATATCGTAAGGAGGGAAAATTTATACACTTATTATTATTAGGACGAAACGTAAAACGAAAGTAATGTTCATTTATGATTCGACATTGACTTTAAGTGTGAAATAAACAATAAACAATGTATAATTTTATTGTTTGCATATCATGCTTAACAATACTAGGGTTGACAAGAAGATTAAATTATCAAAAGCTTTTCAAACTCTTTCATTCGAAAGCGAAAAAAAAATTATCACACATACAGAAGTTTTACCGGAATTAGCCACTTACGTAAACAATATTTAAAAAGTAATTACAATATTTGAAAATGGAACTCTTTGGTTGTAGAATACAGAATACAGTGTTTCATCTGACTGTCATTTGTTGTTACATTGTGGCGTCATTTTAGAAATTGGTTATCTACATCACCATGGATTTAACTCGTGAAAATTTTCGTAGTCTGATTTTCTACGACTTTAAGTGTAATTTAACAGCTCAGCTGAGCTTCACTCGGCTTCAAACTGCTTTTGGCGATGAAGCACCATGCAAGACGACTATTTATATCTGGTTTGCAGAATACTAACGCGGTCGTGTGTATCTCAGTGACGAATTTCGTGATGGTCGCCCGTCTACTGCTGTGAACAACAAAAACATCAATGCTGTGCTGTGCGCCGTATGATCAAAACAGACAGGCATGTGACATACCATGAGATTCGGACATCTTGAGGCACAGGCATGAGTCAAATACAATCAATACTACACAAACATTTGGTTGTGAAAAAGCTGCGCTCTCGGTGAATCCCACACAATTTGACTGAGGCTCAGAAAACGGATCGCGTCACTTGGTACAATGCCATGCTTACCAGATTCAACGAAGGGGCGTCAAATTTAGTGAGGAACATAGTAACAGATGACGAAACATGGTTTTATAGTTAAAATTCCAAAACAAAACAGGAATGGAGCGTATGGGTCATCAACGTCATTTCGGTTCGGTTTCAGAAACGACTAGTTTGATGTTCGATTTGGTTATTGAGAAAGAAATAAAATTAAAGAAAATCGTAGTCAAGTGAATCGGTTGACAACTAAATTATCGTGAAGTTTTGAATCGAACCACTGTAGTGCTACTCCCACCTATTATGCGCGTCAATGCCTACTCGTCACGTGAAGGTCGTCACATTATTATTATATTTTGGTAGTATCTATTGGTTGTTAACATGTTTTTTTTTAATTAGCACAAGAATACTGTGATGAATACCTTCATCAGCGTATTATCTTGCTATATTGAAATAATCTTGGTGAAATGCAGTGCTTACATATTATATTTATACATATACCAGTATCGCGAATTGGTATCTCGATTATGGGAGTATAGTTAAATAATAAAAATTAAATGGAGAATAATTCTGAATTTGAGTAACTCTTGTTGAAACAACCGTAAGCACAACAATATCTACTGTTTGATGTTATTTTTAAACACAGTAGCGAATCCTAATAAAGTTATCGGTGCGTGAGATTCACGCTGTGCAACTTGAGTACACCGCAAGTTTATGCGAATGTGTGTGTCCGTACTGATTTTTATGAAGATCGATTCAATTGAATACAATCTACCGTTTTTTTAAACGATTCATTGGAATACGATTTTTTAGTGAATCGATTCAAAATTACGGCGAAATTATCGTCTAGATCGTATTCATAATTTAAAGAAAAATATCATCAATGGTTAATGATTTCATCAAGTACAGAAAAGGAAAATACAGAGGCCAATGCTGTGGACAGTCAGTTATTATGATGTTATTATTTTTAAAAAGTTAAATTAGATGTTAAGGATTGGTACCTATCTATGAAAAGCAAAAAAATATATATTATTATGGCAATAAAATCATATAATAAAGATTAATTCTCACAAATTTTAAAACGATTTATGTGACATCGTTTCAAGAGCATACGATCCGATTCGTGGATCGATTCAAAGCAAAAAATCGTGAATCCCTACTGCTTTTATAATATCAAACGACGGGACGCACAAGTCGTGCGCCTGTCCATAACAGTTGCAGTGCCACCCAGCTCTTTAAATCGCAATGATCTGAGGCGCACTGCCACCGTGCCCATCACCCTGTGACATAAGTTGACAAATCCTATGTGCCTGTAATTTTACCAGCACCCTTCAAAACCGGAACACAGTAATGCTGATATTACTGCTTGGCGGCAGAAATAGATAAGGCGGCAGTACTTTCCTGGATGAACTCTTTCACAAGAAGGTCTACTGCTACTTACACGTACACGGAGCTCGGCGGGACATACGCATACAAGCGTATGGAGTTACACTACTTGTCCTATGCGCGTTTCCTTCCCGGTCATATTATGTACACTTTCTTCATTGGCTACCTGTGGCGTTTACGCTACTTAGTACAGGGATAGCTCAATGAAACAACATATGCTTACTTCACGTACACGTGCGATACGTCCGCTCACACCACTGTCTAGAGTCGTAATGCGGGAACAGCCGGCCGCAGTGTAACTGATACTGTCTAATGTCTATGGTACATTATGTGCATACAATACACTACCCAGACAAGGAAGTTATATAATGTAAAATATACATACATGCAACTCTTATCAAGTTCTTCCCTGGTCAATGCGAAGGATATTTCCGGTGAGCTTAAAACGGGCAGCGCCATCGAGCATCGTTGTAATAAGTCCTCTTCTTTGTTGCAATGCCCTTTTAGAGCATCTGAGGACAAAATTAAAGTGTAATTAGTGTACGCTAGACTTTATACAGATACCATTTCAAAATTGCTTTCTTTAGATGTCTTGTATTACTATAGACTGTCTTTTGAAGACGGAGTAAAATGACATTTAATAAAATTTTAAATAGTCATGTACCTGTTATCGACAGTTTTATCGGTAGATCGTAAAAGAAGGTAAAATATTGCCAAAAATGTTTAAATTGTGAAAGTTACGACGATTTAATGATTACTAATTGCGTTATTATCTTCTTTATTCCTATTTTGACAAATGGTTTATTAATATCGAAATCAATTTTTATTCATGTAAATTTTAAGAATGACTCGTTTACTTATTTTACTATCTATATTGAATTAAAATGTAAAACTTTAAAATATGTCTCTTCTTTATATGTTTAATAGACATAGTTCTAAATGTAGTGTACGTAAATATAAACTTAGAAAAGATGACAATTTAAATGCCTCCGTGGTCGAACGGATCCATATTGGACTGCCACGCAGAGGGTTTGATTCCCGGGCCAGGAGAAATATGTGTATGGCCTACACTTATTTCTCTCGTGAGTTTGGGTGTAATTTGTGGTTGTCAGTGCAACGGAACAAGATCTGTCACTGTGTAGCGCGATATGCTGCTGTCTATACATGTACTACCAATTTAGGTATTTGTAATTTTAACATCCTATGATGAGGGGTGCATGAAAGGAGCCTTCCCGCACGTAGTACTATTCCTTTCCTGAACGTCTGGCGCATCTTGTAGGCAACTATCGGCGAATATTAGAGATGCAGCGGAAGTGTTATATCGGAAACAGAAACGGAAACTTGCACCAAATGTAAATCTTTGCAGAAACGAAAACGAATGCTCAAGCGGAAGTGTAAATACTATAAAGATGAGAATGAAATAGTTCCAAATAGGAAATGTTTTTGGTTCATAATTGCACTTAACACAACACAAAACGTCCAAAAAAGGGCGCCCCATCAACAAGCAATCCGTGCGCACTCCTCATCAGTCGCGAGCCTAAACTTCCGACTAAAGTTCCCTTACAAAAATTACGGAAACAGAAACGGAAACAGAAGTGAGAAAAAGTGCGGAACTTTCGCAGTTGCGAAAGCAGAAGCAGAGGTCTGTTGCATCACCAGCGAGTACCTTAAACCGATTGGGAAATTATTTCACTACGATAGCGGACATTACAGTGAAGAACATCCTATAAAACAGTTTTATCCAAATACAAATGCAAACCAAGTGACTTCTTCACGTTTTCACTCTCACGTCTTCACGAAATATTATAAGCAGCATAGATGACCATACACAAAGATATGTACATAGTTTACATGGACTTGCACTGTAATAATATAATAAATTTCCTATTGTTGTTATTGCGTAATCTTGGCGTCCCATTCCCTCGCACCAGTTTTGTTAACATGCACTCAATACAACCAAAATATAAAAAGTACTTTACCTAGACATGCGAATTCATTTACTCAAACATGAATGAAATAACTAAGGGATATAGTAAACATTTACTTAATAATAAAGAACCATTCCAAGATAAGCGCTCGTACGTGCTCTTTTCACAGATTGTTGTTTATTCAAATTTTCATTTGGCGCGCTTTATTAAATTTTAAGTTACATTAAAATTACAAAATGATTTTCATTTCAGAATATTCCGCAAGCACCTCGTTTATGCCAAGTGCAAAACTGCAAAGTAGGTAGTCTATAATTTCCAGATGTTGTTTTATAACTAAATCTCTCTGTAGAACGCGGATTACATTTAAATAGAAACTATAAGTCTCCTTTTTCGTCAAAAAACTTATTAAGAAATTTCTCAACGTTATCGATCGTATAGCAATGCCGATTATGTATGTGCGGCAAAATTTGTGTAGAGTTATCTATGCATTTACCGTTACAATATCCTTGCAAGTGTAAGGGCATAATACAAAGTAGGTATACTAAAAGTTGCAGGAAATCTTGAATTTCTTTTGAACTCTCCCTTTGCGGAACATATCCATCAAGTCTTTTCATTCTCCCCTCGTACCAGATTAACAAAGGTTGAAAGCCTCTGAATGCCGAGGCAAAGTTATGATATTTTATCCTGACGACATTAAGTTATTATTAGCTTAAGAATATAAAATTCAAATATATCAATGCACTGTTTGATTGTTAATTGGTTGGTCATTAAGATTTTTTCTTATCTGAAAAGTAAAACTTAGTTACTAACGGTAGAGCTCCTAATGAAAGAGTTCGTCCAAGGAAGTACTGTCACCTTACCTATTTCTGCCGTCAAGCAGTAATGTGAACATTACTGCGTTTCTGTTTTGTAGACTAAGGGTGCTGGTGAAAGAAATTACAGGCACATGGGATTTATCAATTTATGTCTCACGGTGACGGGCGCAGTGGCGATGGCGGTGCCTCTCAGATCTTTGCAATTTAAAGTTCGGAGTGACACTGCAACTGTCATGGATAGGCATGCCGCTTATTTGTTTCGTCACTTTTAAAATTAAAAGTAACTAGAAATCTTTATTATTAAATAAATAAATAAATAACGCACACACTATATTATTGACATAAAGATGTAACATTTTAAATGATCAGAGACTTTCTAAAGTTCACTATATTCAAGTCTGCATGGCCGCATACCATATGAATTCAGTGTGCATGACCTTCCAAGTATTTCCAACAATACCATAGAAATAATCTCAGTACAGAGTACTAAAAAAACGGACCTCAAAAGTACGTGGAATTACGTCTATTTGCTAAGTTTTATTGAAATATCCCCTAGTTCGCCACTATACAGGACTTGACACTGGAGATAATAAAAATCGGTTCTCACTATTCAAAGTATATTGAGAGAGAAAAACGCCTTGAATTGGAAAATAGCAAAACCAACCATTAAAATAATTGCTCCTTAAGTAAAATTTAGGCGCTATTTATAAAAATGAATGTTCTTGCGTGATCAGCTACCCTTAGAGTTTGATGATTTTCTTCAAAATGAAAAGGGACCACTGTAGAGGTACCCTCTTTCTAACAAAAAGAATCATGAAAATCGGTTCACAAATGCCGTTATCGCGTAACATAGATACAAAAAAATATACAGTCGAATTGAGAACCTCCTCCGTTGTTTGAAGTCGGTTAAAAATAGAGAGAGAGAGAGAAAGAGAGAGAGAGAGAGAGAGAGAAAAATAGAAGACGAAGCCTACCAGCTGTAACCTGTGTGGCACAGCACCAACAGGACCAAATTTTCTGCTGCGTCTGGCCATACCGACGACGGTGCTGTACCTACCTGCCACGACTGCATTACTCCACGAATTCTGAGGAGATAGTTGAGTACATCAGACTAAAAGCCAAAAACACACTGAGAGTCGAGCGGTTGGAGTACAATGTGAATTTTAATTCGTTTTTAGTTAAGAGTGCCGACCGAACATCTGTGGACCTTCATAAGGGAGTTTTGGTTGAAGGGTGTCATATACATATATCGGTGATTCCGAGGCAGAGAGGTGATACCTGACACCTAATTGCGCCACACAACGCAGACTAATGCACTTCGTGTAGATTAATTGTTTCGTTTTAATATTAAATTAAACGTATGTTAGTCCCTAAGGTACACAAGTATATTACATGGGTCATGTACATTGACTTACAAATAAATGGACGACGGGTCTAATACAAAAACCACGAAAAAATGACCCAAGTCAACCTATTTAAACGTAGTGACATGTAAAGGAATATGAAAAAGCTAAAACGTTGAATTTAAATTGTAACGTCATCGCAGCACTGTCTAATTTTGCTTGCTTCGCTGTCAGTCGAACAAACGAAGAGTAAAGCGTGAATGACGCTCTGTATACGACTTTAACGCCCTATAATTTCGGACACTTTTTAGCGCGAACACGACGTCCATATAATGTAGCCCAATTTAAATGAATAAATAAAAATCAACATAAATAAAAAACAAAGGAAGATAATTTAAAAATTAAATTACTAAAATTTACTTTTATTTTATTTATTCTCAAGTAGCTGCGTGGACGGTGTAATGTGTTCCAATGTTTTTTATCGTCTATGTTTGTATAGAATGCGCGCGGGCTCGACTTGCCACGACCGGTCGTGTTTCACGTGGGGCGCACGCGTAATCAGCTGTTTACACATATGTATACTACAGCATAATAGAACCATTTTACTCTCGTTTCGCGGAACTCTACTATATTTAAACCATGCGTAGTTTGTAGGGCTTCCATTTATTACGCGTCTCCTTGGTGCGCTCGTGGAAGATTTCGGCTCTAGTTTTCCGTTTCCCTTTTATTGCTTCTATGTTGCATTTTATTTCATGTTAACATTGCGATTGCACAGGTCCACTGATGCAACATCGCGCAAATTTATCACCAACACGATATATTCATGACAGTTTAATTCACTCATATCTCGGCAATGGCCTCGAATGTTGACGTCGTATGCGTCTTGTTCAACAGGTAGTTATTTTTAACAGAGCCGTTCTAAGAATGTACATTCCGTCGTCGGTATGGTGGGGAGCCGAGCCCACCAAGCCGTGGTTTGCCATTGGATGGCGCACATCGTACGATGTTTTTGAATGTGTGAGTAGTTTCGTTCATACAATGCAACACAGGCTCATTCAATCGAAGTATGATCGAGTAGCAATTTAAGAAGATCGGTGGAGAACCGCCAATTGATTGATTGAATCGGATGCCTTAGGAAGACAACATCGCCTTGACACAATGACGTTGAATGCTATTTATTTTTATTGACCGTTAACCTCTTGTACCGTCACACGCAAATTGTTTGTTATTGATGGTACAGCTGACGCTGCCGGTTCTGTTCAGGAGGCAAAACCACAAGTACTGCACACTCATTGTTAGACGACTAGAGCTATTCTTCCTGGTAATGTAAATAGGTTACTGGGGAAAATAGGTGTAGTGCTTATGCTTTGATGTCCACCATGTTCTATATTAAAATTTACTATTTCATAACAGCTTACACTATCAA